ACTACACCGGAATGACTGAGAATCTTCACAGATATCACAACTGCAAAGTTTTCTGACTGCCATCTGGTGGCACAGGAGGTAAATAAAAATGTTTTTGTAGAAGAAGCGGATGCAGCTGAGTATTAATCAGCCTTCCTGGGCCGAGTAATCTCCAGATGTGCTGGACTGCAAGTACCATAATCCTAATGGCAATCATTTCGGCCATGAGATGATGAGCAGTGTAGTCCAAGATATACAGAGGGCACCAGGATTGAACAGAGGTGTAGGCAGAGTACCATTGGAGGCCCTGTTAAATTGCTGTCCTATGCTGTCAGATCACTTCTGACTCAGGGGACCCCTATGAATGAATGACTTCCAGAAGGTTTTGTCATTAATAGCCCTGCTCCGATCTTGATCACCCAAGGCTGTGGCTTTCTTTTATGGAGTTAATGCATCTTGCACTGGATCTCATTCCTTTCCTTTCCTTCTCCTTTCTTTTATGGAGTTAATGCATCTTGCATTGCATCTCATCCCTTTCCTTCTTTCCTCACCTTTTCCCAACATTATTGTCTTTTTTCAGTGAGCTTTATCTTCTTGTGCACAAAGTAGTATAGCCTCTGTTTGATCATTTTTGCTTCTTGAAAGAGTTTACCCTTGATTTGATTTAAATAAAATGTATATAAATTCACCAAATGGCACAAGAAGCTGTTGTACTCCAGAAAGCATGTGCATTACCTCCTTACATACAAAAGATAAAGACTACCTACAAATACAAGCAAAAGCTGCAAAGGTCATCCATTTGCAAGGTCACCATGGGCAAATTGGTGTCCTCCGAAAATCCTATCTTCAACCACTCCATCCAGCTCTCGTATACACAAAGCTCTGGATTCCTATATTGAGCCAATCCATCTGTTTGGTCTTCCTCTTTTCCTGCTTTCTCTTTCCCACTTTCCCCCGACATTATTCTCTTTTCCAGGGACTCTTGTCTTCTCAAGAGCATGCTTCTGAAAGAGTTCAGACTTCATTTGATCCAGAATCCACTTATTTATCTTTCCAGCTGTCAACAGTATCTGCAAAGCTCTCCTTCAACACCGTATTTCAAACAAATTGATCCCCTTATCCTCCTGCCCATCAGCTTTCTTCACTGTCCAGCTTTCACCCATAAGAAGGAATACCATGGTATGGATAATCTTCATATTGGTCTTCAGTAACACATTATTGCATGTGAGGATCTTTTCTAATTTCTTAATTGCTGCCCTTCCTAGTCACAGTCTCCTTTTGGTTTCTTCACTGCAGTCTCCATTTCTATTGATTGTTGAACCAAAATATATAATTTTTTCCATAATTTCAATTGACAAAATTGAAGTTACATAATTCTTCTGTGCTGGCTGGCTGAGTGGTTTAAGTAACTGGCTCAGGAGCTAGTGGGGAGTTTGATTCCCCATTGAGCTTCCAGGCAGAAGAGCCAGCCTGGATGGCCTTGGGCAAGCTGCACCGTCCCATGGCACCCCCAGAAGAAGGGAATGGGAAACCACTTCTGATTATTATCTACCCGGAGAAACCCTGGAAATGCTGTTTATAACACTGCCTTGTCCACATTTGGCAAGAAGACCAAAAAGACGGCCGACTGGTTCGTAGCCCATCCGGAGGAGTTGATGGCAGCCATCGAGGATAAGAAAAGAGCTCTAGCAGCATACAAAGCCTGCCCTAGGATGTCCAACTTGCAAGCTCTTCAAGCTGTTCATAGCCAAGTCCAATAGGCTGCCAGGAGATGTTCCAATGATTATTGGCTTCATCTCTGCTCTCAGATACAGATAGCAGCAGACACAGGTAACATCAAGGGAATTTATGATGGTATCAAGCAGGCTTTAGGTCCAATACAGAAGAAATCTTGCTTTTTTGAAGTCTGCTACAGGCGTGATCATTCAGGATCAAGCACAGCAGATGAAATGCAGGGTGCAGCACTACTCTGCAATATATTCTAGAGAGAATGTAGTAACTGAAGAGGCACTAAATAACATTGAGTGCCTGCCTGTCTTGGAAGAAATGGACAGCAAACCAACTTTAGCAGAAATAAAAGCAGCCTTGGATTTCCTCGCCTCCGGCAAGACACTTGGGAAGGATAACATCCCTGTTGAAGTGCTAAAGTGCTGTAAAGAGATAATCACCACTGGGCTGTATGAAATCTTTTGTCTTTGCTAGAGGGAAGGTGGAGTACTACAGGACATGAAGGATCCAAACATCATCACATTGTATAAAAACAAAGGCGACAGGGGTGACTGCAATAACTACCGTGACATCTCTCTTCTCAGCTATGTAGGGAAGCTGCTTGCCCGTGTTGTGCTGAAGAGGCTCCAGGTGCTTGTAGACAGAGTCTATCCAGAATCACAGTGTGGATTTCGAGCTAATAGATCCACCACTGACATGGTATTCTCCCTCAGACATGTGCAGGAGAAATGTAGGGAACAAAGATAGCCCCTCTTTGTGGTCTTCATAGATCTTACAAAGACTTTTCACTTGGTTAACAGGGATGGCCTTTTTAAAATCCTTCCCAAGATTGGATGTCCACCTTGACTTCTTAACATCATCAGGTCCTTTCATGAGGAAATGAAAGGCACTGTAGTTTTTGATGGCTCAACATCAGATCCCTTTGACATCCGAAGTGGAGTGAAACAGGGCTGTATCCTCGCACCAACTCTTTTTGGGATCTTTTTTGCTGTCATGCTGAAGCACGCCTTTGGAGCTGCAACAGAAGGTGTCTATCTCCGGACTAAATCAGATGGAAAACTCTTTAATCTTTCTAGATTGAAAGTGAAGACCAAAGTCCAACTGAAATGCATGCGGGACTTCCTCTTCGCCGATGATGCAGCCATTGTTGCCCACTCTGCTGAAGACCTCCAACAACTTATGAATCATTTTAGTAAAGCCTGCCAAGATTTTGGATTAACAATCAGCCTGAAGAAAGCACAGGTCATGGCCAGGGCGTGGACTCACCTCCCTCTAGTTCCATCTCCACGCAAACATTGGAGGTTGTTCATGACTTTGTGTACCTTGGCTCAACAATCTCCGACACTCTCTCCCTAGATGTCGAGCTGGATAAATGCATTGGCAAAGCAGCTATCATGTTCTCTAGACTCACAAAGAGAGTATGGCTTAATAAGAAGCTGACGGCATATCCCAAAATCCAGGTCTATAGAGCCTGTGTCCTGAGCACAATCCTGTACTGCAGTGAGTCCTGGACCCTTTATGCACGGCAGGAGCGGAAGCTGAACACCTTCCATATGCATTGCCTTCCAACGCATTTTTGGTATCACCTGGCAGGACAAAGTTTCAAATAGAGTAGTCCTAGACTGAGCTGGAATTTTTAGCATGTATACATTACTGAAACAGGAATGTCTACATTGGCTTGGACATGAGAATGGCTGATGGTCGGATTCCAAAAGATCTCCTGTATGGAGAATTAGTGCAAGGCAATCGCCCCAGTGGGAGATCACAGCTGCGATACCAGGATATCTGCAAGCAGGATCTGAAGGCCTTAGGAATGGATCTCCACAGATGGGAAACCTTGACCTCTGAGCGTTCAGCCTGGAGGCAGGCGGTGCATCACGGCCTCTCCCAATTTGAGGAGACCCTTGTCCAGCAGGCCGAGGCAAAGAGGCAGTCCCGAAAGCAGCAAAACCAGGGAGCTGGACAGGGGACAGATTGTATTTGTCTTCAGTGTGGAAGGGATGGTCACTCTCGAATTGGTCTTCTCAGCCACACTAGATGCTGTTCCAAGACCACTATTCAGAGCACATTACCATCATCTCTCGAGACTGAAGGATGCCTACTCAGTGTATTTGTAATATCCCAAAACATAATTGTACTGTATATCAATTAATAGAAAGTATGTGGTGTCAAGTTAGTTCCAATTTAGGGTGACTCCTTCCAGAATTTCTAGGTATAAAGTACTCACACATGGTTTGCAAGTACCTCCTTCTGGTGACCCCTTGGGACCTCGGATGGTGCGTGTAATCCCAACAGCCACACACTTTCTGGGTGGTCTTACCTGGGCCCCTCTCCCAGAAGGCACAGAGGGATTTCAACTTCTGGCCCTTGGCCCTCCAACCCACTGAGCTCTACCATGTTCACTTACATAAAACACTTGCATATTTAACTCCATGTGTCTGAAGAAGTGGGTGTGAAGGACCAAAGAAAGGATGCTGACAAAATGGAACAGGTTTAGAGAAGGGTAATGAGGGTGATCAGGGGGCTGGAAACCAAGCTTTATGAGGACAGGCTGGAAGAATTGGGCATGTTTAGCCTTGAGAAGAGAAGACTGAGGGGGTGATAGGACAGCACTTTTAAAATATTTTAAAGGCTGTTATACAGAGGAGAGACAAGATCTTGATCACCCCAGAGTGCCAGATTTCGGCTGAATATCAGGAAAAACTTCTGAACTGTTACAGCAATACGACCGTGGAACCCATGACCTCAGGAGGTGGAGAGCCCTCCAACACTAGAGGCATTCAAAGAGAAATTTAAACAACCATGCTGTTAGAGCAGTACGACACTGGAACCAGTTACCTCGGGAGTTGGAGAGCCCTCCAACACTGGAGGCATTCAAGAGAAATTTAAACAACCATCTTTCAGATCAGCTTGGATTTGGATTCATGACCTGGGCAAGTGGTTGGACTCGATGGCCTTACAACCCCCTTCCAACTCCATTAATCTATGAAACTCCTAGGCAGAGCTGGGAATTTTTTTTTCCATGCTGTCAAGGGGATTTTGGGAGCTGTAGTCCAAAAAAAAAGAGCAACGTTTCCAAGCTCTCGCCCTTGGGAGCTAATGGTCCGTCCCTTTCCTTCTTTTAAGCACCCCCCTACAAAACCCCCTCCATGTGGTTCTTCCCAGTCGCTCCGCCTTCTTCTTCGGGCCCCGCCCCTTCGAGACTCCTGTATGTCTCTACCACCCCCCTCCGTAGTAGTTCCTTGGTCTCATTATAACGTCGCCCGGCCCCTCGCGCTCTTTGCCTTTCGCCAGGGATTGGTCCGCGGAGGCCCCGCCCCTTCGCTGCGCCTGCGCAGTACGCCCCGTCCGGTCTCTTGGTAAAGAAGCCGAGCGGTGCGCGATGGAGGATGGCGGTGGCAGCGGCGGCAGCAGCAGTAACAGTTGTCAGAGGCGGTCGCAGTCGAGCTCCGGGACCGGAGACGAGAAGCAGGCGGGCCCGTGGAGCAGGGACAAGAAGGACCCCAACGCCCCCGTGGCCGACAAGGAGCAGGAGCTGGTGAGGAAGGAGGCGGGCCGAGCTGAGTCACGGGCAGGCCCGGAGGAGGAGAGGGAACCGGCCTCTCCCAAGGGCCGCCGCCACCG